TAATGATCGTACTAACATAGCAATGGTGAACTTAATGCACAACAAAATTTATGTAAAACAAGAACCGTTGGCTATTAGCCAAATGATACAATCTTGAGAATCCATTTTCACTTTGATAGCATAAATATATGCATGCAAAAGTCAGGAACTCCCTATTACAGCGTCGCTTACATGACATCCAACTAAAATCGTTAAATGAGTATTCTTCTAAGGAGAGACATTTCCTTCTACGCCATTCAAGCTCTTTGATGCGGTTTCTATAAATCTCATGTCAAGGATATCACATTCCGGTTTGAAGTCCAATTACAAATATTTACAGTACCGATATCAGGCAATTTTTTATTTTCTGATGAAGACGGGTTTCTAATTGAAGTTTTTAGTGGGCAGTAATTACATTAAATAACCACATTGTGGGTTAAATTATTAAGTATCTCACTGTAGTCAATGCATTGGAGTTTCAGTCACTTAAAATGTACTTCAGCCATGATTGTCAAATGGCACTGTGTAAGTAGCGGTGAAACCCGTTCCTGAAACCGTTGGATGACCAACATTTGTATAAATTTCAGTAATGGGCAATTGGGCTGATTGGGGAAAATAATCCAATATAGATACACTCTTTGATCAGGAGGTAGATATATTACGGTCGTAGAGTATCGTCATAATAAATTGTTAAAAGGTTACTTTATAATATTTTGCCAAAAATAAGTTTTACCTTCAGAATAATTATTCTGATTCAATTATCAAGTACGCGATAATGGGATCCATTCACTACTGCAGGGAAATATTTTATTAAATTACGTACCTGCAGTATATATATATATATATATATATATATATATATATATATATATATATATATATATATATATATATATATATATATGTATGTATGTATGTATGTATGTATGTATGTATGTATGTATGTATGTATGTATGTATGTATGTATGTATGTATGTATGTATGTATGTATGTATGTATGTGTGTGTGTGTGTGTGTGTGTGTGTGTGTGTGTGTGTGTCTGTGTGTGCAGTTACCTTTATAATATTTAACTTTCACTTACTGACCCAATTACCGGATTGTTAAAGTATAGATTTCCTGATGCATTAATTAATTTACCTACGTTAGGGTAAAACTTCACTGAAAAATAAAATTATCAATCTGTTTTCTGGTTTACATCACATATCATGTCATTATTTATCCTTTTTAAATCGAGTTGAACTTTATAATTACTAAACCCGCAAATAATTCAAAGAAGGACATCGAATTCAATGATATGAACACAAAATAATGTTGAACATGGCGTACATGATATTGTACAGTGGAAAGTGTTGAGCTGTGGTTGGCCGGAGAAAAATGAATTTCCATGGTCTTACGTTTGCGTTCCACGACCATAAATATACACCTAGAATATAAGTTGCTAGTCACCGAAGAAACAAACAAACTGTAAATTGTCGTTTTCACCTAATGGATTGCGATTTGTATTCAGGAAGTAACATTATTGCATACTGTACATCCATTTCGTTCATTAGCACATGACATATCGATTTATACATTCTTCAAATGTCACAGCAAATATAATGGCATCATGGTTTGACAAAATTTAAAACAAAAAAATAATAAAGACAAAAATTTAGTACTTTAACTCTTGTAGTTCAGTTTTCTTTCTGAAATTATTTTTATTTTGATATTCAATTCAGAGCAATATATAATTTCAGGTCATCTTGGTTTTGGGATAAAAAGAAAGAATTAACAAGCGTGTTCAATAAAAAGAAGCGCCACAAATTCGCGCTTTTTTCTCTCAATAAAAACTAAGCATCAAGGTAAATACCATTACATAAAAGACGAAACCCATTTTCAGATTCACTTGATGCTTCTGCTAGTGACAATGTGACGAGTCCACAAATTTTTACCAATAATCGCATTTGCCCTTCTAGATTCTCTCAGACAAAAACATATCATAACTTCGGGGCAATAATCGGCATATCTCTTTTAGGTCTACATTGGAAAAGTTTCATCATTGCTGCTGTCAAGGGATAGAACTTAATGTGAAAAGCATGCAATTAAGTTGGTTGAGTAAAATTTATTCGTTATGGACAAATTGATATTTTTATTTCTCTCAATTTTCTGATTTCCCTAGACGACTCTCTGAACAGTGGGTTATAACACATCACCGCTGTACTATCACTTGAAATATCGATGTCACAGGAATCCAACACTGGGGTTTCGGAAAGGATATTAATTAGGTCCAACAAGCAGGATGAGAAGTTGGGATATTCTCTCTTCGATGATGTTGGAAAAAGGAATGCTTTATATTTGTTTTCCGTAAAACACTACAACACAGTTGATCCTATTACCGCTTTTCTTAGACAAAGTAACAATTATGGGGATTAAAGTCTTAATCTAAGTGCAGACAGGACTGCACCTCATTAGTGTAGATAATCTCTGTGAAGTTAACTTCATTCAACTCTACCAGGAGAAAAATTAATGCCAAAATATATTTCTAAATGAATGGGATTTAGGTGAGTGAATTTTTATGTGTGAGAGAGAGAGAGAGAGAGAGAGAGAGAGAGAGAGAGAGAGAGAGAGAGAGAGAGAGAGAGAGAGAGAGAGAGAGAGAGATGATTTACGAATGCAAACAATTTATCATTTCTTTAAAAGAATGCAATTTTTCACAAATTATGATTCTCCAAAAATATTACACAATCACATTGAACATAAGAATATAAACCGGTACATCCTAAATTCAGCCTTACAAAGACGAAATTTCGTATTTTCTGTGATTGTTTGTGGTCAAAGGGAAATAACTCGCGCCGATTGCCTATTTTCCTCGACGTTAGAGCCTTGGGAAACAATAAGGTGCTCGCTTTGTGTGGGGGATGGGAGGATATACAATAATGTGATAGGGCAAGTATTTTCGACAATGCATATAAAGATTCTCTTTTTCCGAAAATTATGTTCACTGATCATATTTTAGTTAGGAGAATAAGTACTAGGAAGAGGAAATATTGAGTATTCTTGCTAGGTACACCGGGTATGCTTTACGAGAAGAACGTTGGTGTCTCAATAGGAACACCAACCCACTTATCTTAACTCGAGAGCAGCACAACTGATGGAGACTTGCTTGCCCCGGGGAAACAGAACTTAAATCTTCTTACCAGTGAATTCAAGGGCATGGAACCGAGATGACGTCGGCTTAGTTGGTATAACGATACCAATTGCGCAAGTCCAGGTGGGTGGAGCTTAAGGTGTAGGGAACTTTGCATTGAGAATAAACAACAACACTAGATGTGATAAATGCATTTTGTAAGATTTGTACTTTCTGTTAGGCTTAAAAAATGAGCCTCTTGGCAGCATGTGAGATCATGTTAATTCCTATCTAGATCATATTTTGTATTTTTTGATTTTTTTGAAAATGTTGTACACATGACTGAAAATGTGTCTGTTGTGACTAGATAACTCATACCCCAGTCTAGTTCCAGCAGAGTTATCTCTCTTATATGCAATGATGTACCTGTTTTCGTTGTTATCAAATTGACAACCTAACATTGTTCTCTTGAAATGTGTGTGATGTGCATGCACATTTAGAATAGAAAATATATTTATTACCCCAAACATCAATATTAAGGTCTATGGAAAAACAATTGTTACTGTGATGCCAATTGTGTTGTTTTCTATCCGATGTACTACCGGACTGGACCTACCATTTTTCATGTTTCTGCGCTGTAGACTACTTTTAAAAATCGAAAAGAAGGACTGAGCCCGTCAGCTAGGAGCCTAGGCAATTCTCGAAATGAAATATTACGGTAGAATCAAAGGTTCGCGTCGCTAACCCCAAATTTCTGAACTGAGATTTTCATAAGGCGACTTTGTTCAGGCGAGACAGACTATGAATGAGACGGATTAGCGTTATCAGCCCCGATGAAAGGTCGTGAAGGGTCTGGTGTTTTCGTCTGGTAAAGAAACAGCGAAGTATCCTCTCATCACCGTACCTAGTCTGAAACAGCATGTTATCGTTTCATAACTGTACCTGGTAATAAAACGGTATCGTATCGTCTTATAACTCTGCCTAGTCATTAAACGGTGCCGTACCGTTGCATACTAGTACATGGAAATAAAACGGCAAATTATCGACTCATAACTGTACTGGATCCTGAAACGGCGCCCTCTGGTCACATAAGCGAGATGTTTTATTCTAATATTGCGAGCTGTATTGCATTCGTACGACACAGAAGGTGTCCATTTTGCCATTTGGCATCAATACACAATTAATAAAATCCGGTTCAGTACCCACGAATGTAGTCGAAGTCTATTTTTAGATCACTTTTTCCTGTCTCCGTTTGGTGGTGATACAAGAGTTAGATTTTGGCATTCTTCGTAAGGATTTAAAGGCAATTGTTTATTTTTTAGAATGTGAGCTTATGGTGTGGTTGTCTGTGTGTATTTCGGCGACAGTGCACATTGAGTATTAAGGTCATGGTGATGATCCGGAAGTGAAATCTGTGTTCCGTTGCATGGTGTTTTGTTGCAATTCAGCCTCTCAAAAAATGCAGGTCGACCCTTGACAAGAACTTCACCGTAAAGTCATCTTTGAAGATATTTTAGATTAACATGGGATTTCTATTGATTGTCACACAGTGGAAAGTTCAGTACTGAGAAACAAATGTAGTGACCATATTGTAAAATTAATTGTTTTCTATGGCCATTTGACAGTGTCCAAAACTAAACATACACACAAATAAAATAATTAGTTGATACCTATAATAAACACATTCCTTAATTACGTACTTATTTTTGATAACAATTAAAAAAAAATATAAATTCAAAAAGGTTATAGTGATGACAGAATATACAAATAGTGATTTGTATGTCATTATTTCAGCTTACCATTGAATTCAAAGTGAAGACATATTAGTTATTTTAGTTTATATATATTGCAGCTCCAACTTCTTACTTGGAATATTTACCAAAGGACAATAACAATATATAATGAACCGCTCCAGTGGCCTAGTGGTTAGAGCGTCCGCCTCGGATGCGAGAGGTCGTGGGTTAGATCCCAGGTCGACACATACCAAAGACTTACAAAAATGGTGCTAACAGCTGCCTCGCTTGATGCTCAGCATTAAGAGGTTAGTGTTAGGACTGACTGGTGTTAGGATAATGTGACTGAGTGGGACATCATGCTACATGCCTGCGGTATGATGCCCCAGTGCTAGACATCACTATAAACTGCCACACTGCAGACAGCGTAGCAATATGACTGAAAAATTTTTAAGGCTACATTAAAAATCATAATCACATCACATCACAATAAATAATGCAAATGTTGGCTTGAAATCATTTAAAAATTTTTCCAAATTCGCATATCTAATGGTGTAAAAAAATGAATAGTTAAGAGAAAGCGTCCAATGGCACACAGCAAATTCTGAGATCGAAATGTACTCTACCTCTTTCTGTAAGTAGGAGAAAGACTGCTTTGTTGCTGGACGGTTCCCTGTCATTTTAAGACAAATTCTTGTATGAACACAGCCCTGCCGTTTAGCAACGTGATTAAGTCCTGAAACGAGACGGCCAATTTAGAAAAGACGCTTGGAAATATCATATATTCAACAATTGCCTTGGCTGATCTTGTCCTCTTAATATTTTTCTCATCAGATTCAGAAGTAGACCAACAGTTCAAAAGAACACGTGAATATTTCTCTAAAAGATGCACTATCAACTGTAATTGGTGTTTTAATAATTTTTTGGCCAAAGACATTGTTGTTTCGAATTGTTGTTTTTAACAGCTTTAAATAAAAAAAAAATTATATTTGAACAAATGAATGTTTTGCAAACCAAATAAGGGTATTATATCTTGTCAGATTCCTTCTTCTTTGGGTTTTTACTCCTTCAATTTTTGTAATTTACTAATTTTCACCTATATGTATTGATTTTTTAAAAAGTGAAAAGTACTTTTATCCGTAAACTTAACATGAAAAATGTACTCTTCAGTCATCTATGTCATTTTTTTATAAAAAAGAAAATTCACTTAATTCGTTGTAACTAGTAGCTACTGATGGCAAATACCCACTTCATCATAATGGCCGGAAATCGTTTTAGTAATGCCATACACTGATACTATTCAATTTGCATAGGACGGAAAATTTTAATCGTGTTAATTTCAGCTAACCGACTGTTAAGTGCTGCTTCAATGAACTCAATTAAATTGTTTGAATAGACTTGGCTTCCCGTGGGGTTAGATCTGCCACTTAGCTTTAGTTTTTGGTCCTTAAATGTGTTAATCAGTATCCAAATTCACAGAGTGTTATTCTTTCTTTCGGGGTCTGTCAACTTTGAAAGCCATATCTCACAACATCGTGTAACTTTGCACTCCGATTTTTCGGCATTTTTTCTAACCCCTGCCATCGACCAATCATTTTTCACAACCTTGATAGCGTTGAGACCGTGCTTAATAATTGAAGCAGCAATGCAAAAAGACGGCGGTAGTTTTATCTCTAGAAAGTATGATGGGGTATCTTTTTGTGTGAATATGACATCCGTTATAATGAATTATTTTGCGACATATGAGACACAAAATAATATTTTTTTTGTGAAAGGAATATTCAGTCTTTTTTCAAAATCTCTAATCTGTTAATTATTCGAAACGAAGAAATTAAGTATAGAACCCAACCCACTATATGCTCTATAATTGTGGATCATTTGATTGCAATTTCATAATTAGTATAGAATATTGGATGTGATTCTCCATTCCTCACTTCTATCATGATTACGACGGACCATAATTACATAAATAAAGATAGCTCGTGTTCAACAGCAATTGCTTTTTCCTTTAGTTTACATCCTATTTATAATAACTACATGTAATTCTTAAGATAATAATTATTAAAAACAAAATTATATCACTAAAAAATATATATCAGTATTCCATAGTCTATTTATAATGCATATATAAAGGATAAATACCTGCATTTGTTGCGGGTTGTCAGAAACTACGTCCATAATCATTGATCGTGATGCTTATGACATAATGTGACAGAAATTTGCTACAAAATAGTTCTTGTTACCGCAAAGTAAACTAAAGAATCATTTTTATATTACTCTCTAAATTTCAATAGCAATGTATTAATATACGTGTTTTTCTTCCTATCAAGCGATCTCTTACAATATAGTACAACTAACATATTCGATGTACGCACTAGGTGACCTTAAACAGCTATAGGAGTAGTTTTTGAGAATTTGATTACACATTCATTTAAAAAGCGTTTATTCAATTTATTTCTAGCCTTGTCCATCAAAATTCCATTGACGATTATTCTATAAATTTCTCAAAATCTGTATAACGGTAGATTCAATGATAATGTAATTCAATATTTTTTGGCTTTTTTGGGGGTCTTATTCAAAACGGGTTTTGTCGCGCGCCATGAGTCTAAGAGGGAACATGACTGCGGTTGGAAAGAAGTTGTAGTCATTTAAAATAATGTCCTGATAAAAGCGGCAAGAAACCGAAACCATGTACAAATCCAATAAATTGGAGGCAGTTATGTAACTTCGTAGAAATCCTCTGAATGATATTTCATGTCTTTTCTCAATTCTTACATAATCCTTTTTACCCAAACAAATATGTTCCTTCATACACATAAAAGACAGTAGAAACACGGTTGTCTATTCAAATTTATTAAAAATTAAATTTTTCAACATGCTAAATCATCATTTTTGACAAATGTTGTACGTAAAAGTTACAAATAAAAATTATTGTATATTACTCCTTTTTCCCATTCATAGCTGAACATCTGTAATGGAGATGAATGAAACTGCTCTTAACTTCTTGTTCACGTGATCTTAACTTTATTCCCTCTTCACTAGTAATAGTTCATTTAAATATCAACTTTATTGGGCCAAGTCCAACGCCGAACTGCCACTGTAAAAGTCCATGTTGATCTTGTTACAATTAATGTGCAGATCACTCACAAATCAGGATTGCATAAACTTTTCTTATAACCATATTAGTATTGAATTTAAATCTAAAATTAGTTCTTAAATTTATATTAGTAAATGCGCTTAAATGGCCCGTGTGACTTTTATTATATATAGTCTCGAAACAATGAACGCCTGTTGACCTGTTTTGTCCAACCCTCTAATGCATTATGGTATTGTTGATTACATATAAAAGGACAATATTGTCTTATTTACGTGACCAAGGCTGTTGCAGAAGGTTTCTGCATTTTACACGTATGCTAAATGTCCTGTGGTTATCTTAAGCTACAAGAACACAAACACGTGTCTTCCTATAATATTCTAACTGCAGTGTAAGATATAGGAAACGCTTTGAACACGCAATATGACACCTGACGAATCTTAAACACTAATACCTTGTAATTGGGTTTGTGTACTTTCTGAAACATTGGGGACATTCTGATGAAAGAGCTTCCAGTGAATTTAAATATATTAAGGTCTCATTCCAAATAATAGCAGAAGCACTCGTGAGCCCCAGACACACATCTTTATTTTGTACATCTATGTGGTTGCATTTTTTGAAAAAGTCTAGAAGAAAGTTTACGATATGTTTACTATTAGAATTGTATTCTGTTTTACTAGTAAATGTATACTTTATTGCGAACATGCACTTACTCAAAAGGAAATGAACATTGCATACCAAAGCCAACAAATAATATATGCTTGTAAGGAGATAGCGATTAATATCATTATTGAATGTATTGTACAAACTGTTTTCGGATTGTATAGCAAATAGAATAAAACGTGCTATAGACTTTCTAATACACCAAAACAAAAATGGATTTATTTCTGGTAGATTTAATGAAAAATATTTGATTAATACGTTATGTTTAGCACGATATTAGTATTGCCTTGGTATAATTTTGTTTTTGTATTTTGAGAAGGTATTATACACAATTTCTTGGAAACCTGAGATACAACATTTAAACAGTTTAAATTTGGGGAGGCAGCACTCAAATGGATAAACCTGTTTTGTAAATGCGTTAATTAATATCACACAATGCAAATTGTTCCTTCTTTTGTAATGTAAATCGAGCTAGTAAAAAGAATATCCAACTTCTTCATGCGTATTTATGCAGCGTGTTGAGGTTCTGGAAAAGTGATAAGAAACAATAAAGTAATTAAAATAATTAGCATGGATAATGCTGACAGTCAATAAAGTATAAATTATATTTTATATGGAAGTAAATATCTTTATTCAAGTTTAATATAAAATATTTGGGATTTAAATTCGCCATAGATAATGAAGAAGATAAATGCTGCTCTCAGTAGTTGGCAAAGGAGAATAATTTTTGCAATGTTGCTATGAACAACTCTTTAACTTATCAAATGTACTTATGTATGTATGTATGTATGTATGTATGTATGTATGTATGTATGTATGTATGTATGTATGTATGTATGTATGTATGTATGTATGTATGTATGTATGTATGTATGTATGTATGTATGTAGGTAGGTAGGTAGGTAGGTAGGTAGGTAGGTAGGTAGGTAGGTAGGTAGGGATGGATGGATGGATGGATGCACGTACGTACGTACGAACGAACGAGCGAACGAACGAACGAACGAATGAATGAATGAATGAATGAATGAATGAATGAATGAATGAATGAATGAATGAATGAATGAATGAATGAATGAATGAACTTGCATGAATAAATCTATGATTACATCACCAACATTAAATGCCTCTCCAGACTAACTGATAGATACATTGATCATCAAGAAGAGTTAGTTTTATGACAGATGGACTGCATGATGCTGAATGAGAGAGACAAACCTCTCCAAAAGTAGTTTTAATATATTGATGAAAATTAATGATAATGAATTTTAATTATGTGACATGGTATTATCAGCATCAACTGTAAAAGAAAGATCCTCAGAATGAAGCTCCTTTTGATCCACAGACTTGGGTGCGTAATTGTCCTCAGAATGACACGAATCCTTGTCCTCCTAATGAAGTTTCTTATGAGATTCTTGGATCAAAATATTCCTTCCGAAGTGGAATTATGACAGCTTTAGTTATAATTTTTATACCTTACTATGATGTTCAA